GAAACTGGCTAGCTAGATAAATCTAACTGGAAATCTATCTTCTTTACACAGATCAGCACCAACAACTGTTGGAAGAACTGAAACAAGCCAAAGTAGTGATAAATTATGAAAATGTTCATTGGACAAATGGAAACAGGAGCATCCAGATAAGTAAAAAGGGTTAATTAGAAATTGATTTCAATTAAGCACTAAGGGCAGAATTTCCATTACACATAGTCTGAAAAGCCAATGATGTATAGATCAGTCTCTTTTAAATATAGGCCTCTGTCCTTTTCTTCAAATTTCCATAACCTGCTGGAAGCAAAAAGTCATTTCTAATTTTCCCATGGCTCAGCCCTAGTAAAGTAAATCACATTAAACATTTTGGTGTTGTGTCTGCCACATCTGTTCTGTCATGGTCTTGACCTTTGCTTTCTCAGATGTACAAGTGGTGAAGAAGCATGCTCTAAAACTGCCCATAAACTGCAGCCTGAGGCCAGAGAGAGCCAGGTGGACAGACTAGTGCCGAGCTCCCATTGCATAGGGCCTTAAAACCAAGTTAAATGTGCACACTTAGCTCCCATAATCTCCTGCTTCCTGACACACAGGGTGGGTGGCCAGTTGCAACATTGCTCCAATGTATGTGATGTTACCTTCTTAGTAAGCAGGGGTATGCATGAGAAAGGAAGGGGCAGACATTTAATAGGTCCATAAATAAAGGCGAGCATTAAACAAATAATTGTTTGAATTGATAGGGTCTAATACACACAGGGCACAGCTTGGCAGCATTAGTTCCAGCTGAGTGGCACATATCAGACAGTACTGCTTTCTTTAGGCTACATTCATCAAGGAGGACTCATGTCAGACATGGCTGGGGTCCCCTTTGTTAACACGTCTGATTCGGCTAACCTCTTCATTACCTCTGTTCCCATCAAATAGGCACAATGTCAGACATCAGGCTAAAATAATTTCAGACATTTTTGTTGAGACAGATATTCACAGATTCATGGATATTGTGAAAATGTAATGATAGCACTGCAATACATTTGCAATATCTACAGAGACCCACAAATACATGATGAAACTTAATGCAACAGATTTTTTTTTTTTTTTTTCAGAAAAACATGCTGTTGACTTTGAAATGTATATACTATTAAAATGTTGGTAAAATCATTAGAGTGGCTGAGAACAGTGGCAGACTGCCAGTTCAAAGGGAATTTTCCCTTCAGAGTTCTCATGTGGCCTCAGAGTAGAACAGACCGCAGGAATCCAGTGCTGGATTGGCGGCACAAGGCTCTTTGAAAAAGGATCCAGGGGCAGATGAAGGATAGAGGTGCACCATTGAAAGTGCCACTTACTATATCATATTTTATGTTAAAGGACACAAACTGTATAAGGTACAGTCAAGTGTTCTGTTGCGCTCATGTTCAACTTTGATTTGAAGCTCTAAATTTCAAAAGCTAAATAATATTTACAGTAGATAAAGGAGTCAAAGGAGCTATAACTACAAGGATGTAGATGGTACCGACATATAATTTCATAAACAGTCTTCTATTTGCAAATGCATGTGAGGTCTGGGCGCATCCATATTATAGTAATGACATGCTTTGCAACAGTGTGCAGGATCACTAGGAAGGGAACCACGGCATCAATGCAATTTCCTCAATAAACTGACAGTGAAGAATGCCAAGCACCCATTGCCACCCCAAAATACATTTAAATCTGTGTGTAAAGCTGAGGCCTTTTTTCACATGCAGCTAGGCAGACCTGTCCAAAGGATTTTATTATAAAAATTCATAGTCTTGGGGTCTCACCTCTCTATTGCAGTGGACCATCTACATATAGTGGTCTTATTGAAGGCATTAGTGTATAATGTCACCCACGACATCATGATACTACCACTCCAGTGGGACGTCTGGAGCAGAGTCCCACCGATCCAAGCAGACAGATTTGTTTCCTTTGTCGAGCCCTTATGGAACCAGGAAGTACAGCTATCCAGAGAAGGGGAAATTACGTATGTCTAAATATCCATTTATGGAACATATTTCATTTGTTGTTACAAGGCCAGAAAAATCCTTACCAACCTTGATGGCAGATTTAACAAAGAAGGGGGCTGAAGTTTGCGTCATCTCCACTCATGCTCTTGCCAGAGTCTGAGGTTTGATAGTTTTCATGTACCTCATTAAAAGAGTCCACATCTATGGTGAAGTAAGAAGTTCAAAATAAACTTGCATCTTTCCCACAGAATAAATGAAATCAGCGGAAATTATGGTACAGGGTTATGTGAGGTTGAAGCTTCCCTCTTGGTAGAAATCTTTTGCTGTGCATGACAGAGCATAATAACAGGGATTACATTTGGTGTGCTGCTGTTACTGTCTCCATCCACGACACAGTTTATAAAAAATATACAAGTTGTTCTTTCATGGGAAAATCATTTAGAAATGGTTTACTCATTAGTCATATGGAAAAACCTTCAAATCAAGTGAGAATACTGTCTTTTTTATAACCACCCACTCATTCAAGCCATGACTATTGTGGGTGAAGAAAAAGACACAAGTTAGGCCATTACAGCAGGCACAGTATTGTAGTACAGTGTATAATTGTCATAATGGTGGTGGCTTAGCGCAGCAGTCAACAAGCTGTCTGAAAGGCCACTCACTGGGCTGCCTTCTTCATGAGGAGAGCTTTACTTTGGATCATCCTGGCAAACAGCAAGTCATGGACTCATGCCAAAAACATGGAGGGTCCCACAGTAATGAAGAATAGGGCACACTGTCTAACACAGCAGAGAGGCAGAGAGGACCAGGGACACTTGGTGTTTGATACTGTAATTAAGACCTTAAGCAGATTAAAATGTATGGGTGTGGTTATGTTGAATTTGGAAAATAAGCACCTTTGTGACATAGACAGACATGTCATGATCATGAATGCATTGGCATACAACTTCTCCATACAATTCAGATCTGAATATTGAGAACAAGGATTTTATGGTTTGTCTAAATTTGATATTGACCAAAATAACCTAATTTTGGTCAAATAATCTTGAGGAAAATGAAATTTAATGAATTAAGCCAATAAACAGAAAAGACTGGTACAAAAATGTGTCATATAATGAAAATGTCCAATCCAGGGGTTTCCAAAGTGTAGGTCAGGAGCTACTAGTAGCTCTCCACCCCCTTCCAAGTAGCTCACCAAGGGATTTCAGAATTATACCATTGTGCTGAATAACAAAAATGTCTTAATTACATGTCTATTACCATTGTAAATTTTGAATTTTGAAGTCCAACTTTGTGCACAAATAAATGGAAAATTGCATCTAACTGTACCCCAAAGCTTGCCCTCTTTCTTATTATCGTCTCATTTTCTTGCAACCGCTAAAATGAGTAGCTCTCTGGCATTTTCGTTTTGTAAAGGTAGCTCATCAGAGGAAAAAGGTTGGAGACCCTTGGTCCAAGCAGTACCAAAGTATGTTTATAAGAGTCGTAACTTGAAGGCAGCACTTCCAAACGTAAAAACAATACCAAAATATTTGAAATAAAAGAGCGAACATCTTATGACCCAGGCTAACATGTCTTACAGTACTGTGGTATTTTTAATTAGGGCAGTTCCTTGTTGTGGTGATCCCTTCTGAAATGACACTTCAGGAGATTTTGTGAGAGTAAAAGTGGGTGTTGACTGAGCTCATTATTACAAAGCGCTTAGACAGCTCAGCCCCTGATGTGAGAGTCACAGACAGAGGAAAGGGAGGGGGCATTGTGTATGGTGTGGGAGTTTTGGGGGAATTCAGAAAATGCAGTCTTCAAAACGAGACCAATAAATTTAAACAGGAATGCTTCTGAAAAAATAGATCACCAACTGTAGTCTATATTCTTGGCATTTTAAAGCACACCGCCTGATGTTGGTGCCTGTGTAACCAAAGCTTTTCATCTCTCAACACCCCCGCCCCAAGATTTAGCACGCTGCGTTTAACGTTTGCCACTTGAGCCAAACGCTGAGTTGCCTGACTTCTGAGAGACAAAAGAACCACAGAAGAGAAAAGAGGGGGGCAGCGGGAGAATGAGGGGCGGGACGGCTCTGCTCTATCCATTTGTAACATCGGCTACTCGTAATGGACCATAAACACAGACAAGCATCACATAAAACTGAAAAAGTCACATGCTGTCATAATTGATTCTGGACCAACCAGGCCTAGAAAGATATTGAAACACAATTAAGATTTAGTCTCCAAAACCACAGCTCTGAGCTTGTCGTATCAACTTACCAGAACGATTGCAAATTTCTCCTCCAGCTCTGTGGGATCAGGCATAGGCACCTTCAAAGGCATAATATGATGCTTCATTTCTGACTGACCGTCAACACTTTCTATATTTCCCATTTTGTTCAATTAGTTATCCAATAGTTACGGTGAAGCGCTTCTTTTTCTGTGCGTCTTTTCTTCTCATGCGTAACGCACAAGCGTCCAAGCACCAGATTCAACAGATGGTTCCGAACAATATAATATTCCACGGCGAGAAACAAAGTCTTGTGTTTGTGTCCCAAAATGCCATTTATATCACACGCTTTGGGTTCACAGTGTTTCCACTGTATCTTCCATCCAAAGTTTGTCTAAAAACTCACAATAAAAGTCCATATCCACTGTCTCCAATGAAGTTCTTCTGCTTTTCCTGGCCAATCCATCACTTTCCAATGAAAGATGAAATAAAATACCGACCAAAATTAATTTACCCGCTGCTCAACTTTCTTGGCTTCAGCGTGTTTCCATTCATTATTGGTGTGTGATCCTGATTAGACTTTTTTGCTGGTGCCTCCACTCAAGGGGCAGGGCCCCCTCTACCTCCCGCCCTTTTCCGGGGGAGTAGCCTCTCCTATTGGCTGAGAGCCCTGCCAATTTTCTACAATCTCCTACATAAAAAAACACATCTGCAGGAATAGAGCCCACATGCAGCTGCACGAGTTAACCTGACTTTGTGGCACTATAGCCCCACCTGGTGTTCAGAATTACGCAAACCATGAAATAAATATTTGACTCAAGTGCAAATTTTAATCAGCAGAATCAGCAGAATCGTCATATGCAACATCGCAAAACAGCACGTTTTCTATTTGTGAAGCATTTTGCTTCTTTTCACAATCACATTTTCAGTAGAGCCAAGCATATTTTCATGCTTTGTGTGAGGTCAAAGGTACAGCCTAAATAACTGTAAGCATAGTACAAGCAATAAGCAGCATGGCAATGGCAGTGGCATTTACATCTAGGCTACGGTAATCTTTAAGAAAGCACAGTGATTTGCATTTCTGTCTTCACTAGTCTCTATACGGGTCTGAGTTAAATACATAATTTATAAAAGTGTAATTTCATAAATCTCTGTTTAAAACATATAAAATTTCATCTGAAACAAAATAATCCAATACTGACAATCTGTGCACAGTTTCATAATACTTAAGGCAAACATACAAACACACAAGTCTTTAATTTGCAGTTAAAAAGGAATAAAAAGAGCTAAAACAAAAATAATCATTCATTTGGTCATTTTCCCCTATCCACAACAGTAACTCACACACAGACTATTGTGATATATGCGGTTACACATACTGTCTGGTGCAATTGCATCATGGTTTCCTTTTTCTACATATCTTTTCAGCTAAATTTGACTGAAGAACGCTGGTTAAGATGAACATGTCACAGTTAATGCTTCATGGGTGATAAACATTTCTGTTCTTAAATACAGTTGGACCTTTTGTTGAAAAGGTTTTCATCTTTTCTTCAGTGAAGGTGGTGATTTCTATTTAAGCTGAACACTCACAAATCACAGACAACTGAAGCAACACTAAATGTTGTATAGCTGAAGATTAAGCAGGCATAATTTCTTCTAATTGGCTTCTGCCACCAGGTCATACCTGAAAATGAAACATAGCATGCAAATGAAATGTTTGTACATCCAAAACAAAAACTTAAGAGAAGAACAAAATACCATTGGGTCACACTAGTCTTGAGGTCAATTTGGTCCATATCCAGCTGCATCTGAGTGGGCAAATAATGATAAGAATCAAATATTAATTACAACAGTCCCAATGATTTTACTTGTAGTTTAGTACCTTGCCGATGAGCTCCCTCTCTCTGCTGATAAAGGAGACATTGTGCTTCACAGAAAGGTCCAGTTTTCTCTGGGCAGACTCCTCCAGTGAGAAATCAAAGTCAAATCTACAAAGAACAGAGGCAGAGGTGAGGAGGTCATGTCTGCAGATTAATATGAGTGCCCGTCCAGTACCTCTCATTGAACTCAGGGTTCAGGTCTCTCTTCTTTGTGGCAGTTCGTCTTTTAGTTGTAGCTTTTTTATCAGGTAGAAGCACGAAGGAAACATAAGGATCTGCTCCATCCTTAGAGCAGGGTGCCAGGGCCCTGTCAATACAATTTAAACAGAACACATATATGAGTAGGTTACTCTTCATAGTATCCCGTGAAATAATAATAATACAGTAATGATATGACCCAGAACCTGCAAGCATGTATAGTGATGAAAAGCCTGCTCTCCTCTATGGAGTATCCAATAGTAAGCTTCACTTGTCCAGCAACACCACCACCATTTTCTCCAGCACTAAAACATGTGTTATTTAACCCATAATGTGTTCAGTTCATTACACTAAATAACAGCATCAAATTCGTCTCTAGTGACGGCAGAGTGACTCACATTGAAAGACCGCCTCTGTGTTTGAGGTCAAGATGGGAAGGGTCCCATTTGGGTATAACTTCATCAATGATGACATCACCTTCCACCTTACGACACAATGCCAGCTGAGTGTCAAGGATCTATAATTCATCACAAAGAGAAACAGAAGTAAATGTTTTAATATTAATGTCATAATATAGCCATAATATATTACACAATTGCAAACAGTGTGTACCTTAAGTGTAAACCTCAGTAGTATTTGGCTTTCTGGCAGAGCTCCATCCAGACTGAACCAACGATCAAGAAGTAACCCAGGCTCAGAGAGGACCTGTCTGAGCGGGAGTGTGACTGAGCCAAGACCCTGGCCCCAGCTGTGCGAGAGCTGAGCATAAACACATACAAACAGTTTTGTTTTCACATATTTATTCCATATTAGGACTATATCAGAGGCTTACAATCAAACACAATGGACACATACTGCTGACATTACATGAGAAGCTAGGAAAAACTTAGATAGACTTACCTTCACAGTGAGGATTTCATCTCGGGGGTCCCGCACTAGGAAATGAAAAGCTTCATCCCATCGTGGAGAGGTTGAGCGCTCAAAAATCTGGACAGCAAACAATAGGTCATTTTTCACAGTAATTGGTTTTGACGCGCCTCCTCTGTTGGCACTCCTACCTTTGTCTTGTAAGATACATTTTTAAGGATAACCTCGGCCCCAGCTTTTGGCTCCTTCCCATTTTTCTTTAGCTGGAACACAGTAATTCAATCATGTAAAACATGCCTTAAATCACTGGAGAAGTCATGCAAGAAGGTCATGAAGTTGTACAAGCAATCAGCCCAAAGTGTGTCTGAAACTACAATGTCACTGCTTTTGTGAGTAAAGAAAACTCATTAACATAAACAACACATAAATCCCAGAGGATTCATAGACATGATCTCACCGGCAGACCGTGAGCCCGCTCCACATAGACAAACAGGAGAGCGGACGATGGCACAGCCTTGTTCTGATACGACTGCTGTGACTGATACTGCAGGACCTATATAGCAATGACAGGATGAATAATGTTGATTTATAATTTTTTTAACATTTGTCTTATAATTGAGACATTGTTACCTGACAATGTAACTAATAGATACAATACAATAACAATACTAACCGGTTCCAGTCTGAATAAGTCTGTAACTCGGGGTAACCACTCAAGTACAAGGTGCACACGTCCAGACTTCACATCATTTAGAGTGTACCACTGTGACAAAAGAGAAATTAGATTAGATTAAATGAAATTACAAATGCAATATAAAAGCCATTCAAATGAATATATGTTCTACTTTGACTTACCGTGTCAATACATTGCACGCTTATGATATCTCGTAGGCTTAGTTTAAACCTGTAAAGGAGAACATTATTAAAAAAAAAAAAAAAGTTAGAATGGCTTATTAATGCTTGGAAATCTAAAATATTACAAGAGAAAAGCCTTGGACATCCTATGTGCACAGCCACCTAAACTAGTGTTATATTACCACAAAATCTGATGTATACATTGTTTTAGTATACCTTCCTAGAAAGTCATCCTGGTCAATGTCCTTGTCAAATAACTCAAACTGAATCTCCTGACCAGGCAGTTGAGTCAATATCACCTACAGTAAAACATAATGAAAATACTGACTGCAGTGTCATAAATATAAGTATATATGTATCATGTATCAATAAAAAGTGTTGATACCTCATAGAGCTCATTCCAAATGGGGTTGAGGTTTTCTTTGATGGTGTGGCTTCTGAAAGTGATACCGGCCACACGGATCTTCACATATGGGTCACTCTTTCCCTTCACCATGCCCCCCATGAAGTTGTCCTTGGCAATGAGGTTCTGTGCCTCCAACAAATGAATCCGCAGCACTCCCTGTAAGCACAAAACTGAGACATTACCATGTGCTTCATTGACTTTGACCACTCTCAGATTTGGCATTAAAATGTCCTAACTGAATGGAGCCCTGTTTTAGTGCACCCTGAATAGAACAATCCACTTGGGATACATACATAATTCACACGATTACCAGAACTATTTTTGATGAAAAGATAAAAGCATGACGGTATGCATGACTATGAAATAGAAAGAAGATGTATACCTCTGTTCCAAAGTCTGAATCAGGCGTGGCATGCTG